TCAGATACTATAGCAGAGTCGTTTGGTATAACGCAAAGTCAGATTTCGCGATGGCTTAAAAAAAAGAAACTATTATTAAAGATGCCGAATCATCCTATCGCAAATTGTTTCTGAAGGGAAGACGTTCCACAAAATATCTTGAACTATACAAAATTCTTTACAAAGAATTTTTACAAGCCATATCGAAAGGTCATATTGGTCAGGGTTAAAGCTAGGGAGTAAAGCTAGAAATATACAATTAAACATTGATTTAAACGTGGTAATAAAACATGATGTTATAGTTCGATTTTTACAAAAAAAAGATTTAAAAATGTGATCGAAACAAAAAACAAAAGGAAACATAAGAAAGAAATGGAACCATTATTACAGAAATGGCATGCGACATACAGAGAAAAGTGTTTCAGAACAGGTTCTAAAGATCCCAGCTATGACAAAAAATGGGGATGGTACCAACCTGGACAAAGGCTCAACGTTGACCAGAGCCCACTTCCCTTTGTTGTTCATGGTAAGAAAACTTACGAGTATGTTCCCAAGGGTCAAGATGCAACACATAATACATGGATCTGACAACCGGGCTCAGGATTGGAAAAAAGGCAATGTTCCCCTCAAATTATGTTTCGGCCAGAAGGAGAGCAACCAAAGCTAGCCCTCATTTTTAGAGGTCAAGGAAAACGCATTTCAAAAGACGAAAAGTTAGCATGGCACAAAGATATTCACGTTTACTTCCAAGAAAATGCGTGGTTAGAACAAAACGTTTGTAAGCACTGGTGTGATAAAACACTCCTTCCATTTGTCAGAGAACAAAAACTTGATAACTTTATTCTTTTGCTGGACAATATGAAGGGATAGATGCAGGAGGATTTTAAAGATGCTGTGGCTGCTGCTAAAAGACTTCTCTGGTACGGTCTACCAAGTGCCACTGACCTTTGGCAACCAGTTGATCCCGGATATGCTGCTACTCTGAAAAGGGTTATTGCCATTGATTATCAAAAATGGCTTGATAGAGATAATCATTCTGATAGATGGTTCAGTAATGAAATGCCCTACTCTGCAAAAGAGAGACGAATTTTGATTACACATTGGGCAGGGGAAGCATGGAAAGCTTTAAACACTTGTAAGTATGACAAGCAAAGAAAGAAATATTGGACGATGACTGGGTGTTTAATGACTTCTGATGGCTCAGAAGATTCGCTTGTTGAACCAGAGGGCCTTGATAGTTACAAAGTGCCCCCACCAACCATCATTGATGCTGGCAGTGATTAACCCAAGGGAAATCAAAGTGATATTCAACCGGTGGAGGTAGATGATGACACCTTTATGGGTCCGGACGAGAAGGAATGCGAAGTTCATATCTTTGATTTCATTTTGTTAAACAGTCGAAAGCACTTCATGGAGATGATTAATTTTTTCCGATGCTTCATCAAAATCAAATGTTAAATTTTTAATAGTGTTAAGCATTTCACGGACTTCGGAGGATTTAGAAGAATTTTTTCTTTTAATTCTACCCAATTGATTTGATGGTAAGTTAGTATAAGCATTAACATAATCATGACTATTCTTATCTTCATGTTTGTAATGACATATATTTGAATCATTTAAAATCATATCATTTTTAATTATATGTAAATTTAAAAATGGAGATTGCCTATATAACAATGATAAAGAATCCCATGACTATGCTTCTGGAAACTTTCTAAATACTAAAAAAAAGTGCTTACATAGATAACATGATCGTAACCAGTCTTTACAAGTACAACTCGGCATGGTATTTTCATCCCCAAAATAAACAGTGTTGCTTTTCTGTTCATCTGAAAAACTACTTATTGAAAATACTCCATGAATTTCCATATTTACCCCATTTATATCAAAACTATTTGCCAAAGATTGTTTCTTTAAACACTGTTTAACAAAATGATGTGGTCGGTTAAACAAGTATTCAGGTACATCAACACTAGTAAAGAAGTAAATTACAAAACATAAGTAAATTACAGTAATAATATAAATTTCCCTTTTTAAAAAAATACATGTTTTGACTATATAATAGGCATAATCAGTTTAAAATAAAACCTTCCTGCATTATTATCATTAGAAGAACTCAAAAAACATTTAAGACCTCACTTCTGTAACAGGTGAGGATCATATTTGCTTGTAAATTTTAACTCCAATAAAACTCAGTTATTTAATGAAAATAACTATTAAAATACTGTCAACATTCCTATATTGATAAAAGGGAACTCACTCTTCTTTATGTCTTATGTTGTTGGATTATCAATCACAACTGACCTCTCATGGAAACCATTTATACAATCAATTGTTAAATCAGCAGCATCTGCTAAGATTGCTTCTCTTTATCATGCTCGCTACATTCTTACTCCTGATTACATTCTCTATTTCTACAAATCTCTTATCTCTAATGATGCTTTTCTCTTCTAGACAAGATCCAAAAACGCAATGTAAACATAGTTGAATCTGCTCTATCTGCTAAGCTTGAGCCTCTTTCCCATCGTTGTAAAGTTGCATCTTTTTCATATAAAAGGAGCTATTATCTTTATTTCCATCAACTAACTCAATTTCGCTTGACTCGTCACTCAGTGAAGTCTCTTTCGTTTACTGTATCTGTCCCTGCATGCTTTGAAAACTTAATTTCGTCTAGTTTTTTTCCCCGCACTTTTACTTTCTGGAATTCTCTCCCATTTTAATGTTTTCCTGACTCATACAATCTTCAACTTTTCAAGTCTTCTGTCAAATGTTTTCTTTGCTCTATAAATCTATTATTTTTTTCTAGTAACTTCTAACTTAATAGTTATTGCTTACAGCTTTGTCGAAAGTGAATCAAAGTAGAAATAAAAAGTTATTACTTTTTTTATGTTATAAATACTACTTCCTACAAATAAGAAAATTTTCTTTTCACAATATCAAAAGAGGGAAAATTGACACACCATAATGCTATGGTCTAAACATGTATTTTAATAATTAAATGGTTTTAACAAACTTTTCAAATTTTTTATCTTTCTTATTATAACTTTTTTTTTTAATATAATTTTTTTTATTGCAATTTTTAAATACCTTTTGCTATTGAGCTATAGAATCATTTATAGAGAATTTTTTTTTAATTTAAAAACATTTACTAAAGATAATAATATATATATAATATTAAAGTATATACTAACTGTTCAAATTTATCAGCCAAAAACTCTTCAATTAATAAGGTTAACATTCCAGTAATAGATAAGTTTTTGTGGCGCTCAAGATAGGTGTACTTAAAAGTTTCATTTTGTCTTTCAAGGCCATTGTTGGTATTTAGATTGACTAATAGACGATTCTGGCGATGGGCCCATATCCATCTCTTAATTAAATGCAAGAAAATGTTTCACATTTATAAAATAATTAACAAATTTTAATACTAAACTCAGCCTAAAGATACGCTATATTCTAAACTATATGTTATAAACTGAGACATTAATGAGGAAAGTCATTGAGTCAGAAATTTATAATTAACCATTTAAAGATTCAATCATCAAAAAAATACTTCACAAAATTTGAAAATTATTGTTATTGATATTGTTTACTATTGAATATTAAAAAAATGTGTTAAACATTTTTCAGTTTATAAATGTTAGGCAGCCAAATCCTTTGAGCAGTTTTTAATATTCAGAAGCATGATAAAATAAGCAAGCATAATAACACAATTAAAATGACACAGCATAATAATAATAATTATAATATTATGATTATAATAATTGTTATACAAATGGTGGTATTAACCAAGCTTTAAATAGCAAATAGAAATCAAGAAATTATAAACAGATACATACAAAATATTAATTTTATATAAAATCATTTGTCATAAAGTCTTGTAATTATGGTGACTAAGTTAAAAAAAAAATTACTTCTTTTTTGCATAACCAATAATTAGTTATATAATTCTTAAATTTATGAAATCTACCATCAAACAAAAATTTGAAGCATTTAGCTTCTTAATTGCTGCCTCTATCTCATTTTTATTTTGCGCTCTTGCAATGCATCGCAGTATTGAAATTATGCATCCTTTAAAATCTGGACAACCGTTTGTTTTTTTGAAAAGCCATCAATCCCATGCCTGCTCTCTGTGGAAATCACATATGATGACATGACAATCTTAAAAAAAGATAAATTGTGTAACTCCAAATTAATTCAATATATAGTAATCAAAGTTACAGACACTCAGCATATATACCTGGAAAAACAGTTTCTAATGACTCAATTTCTTCATTGTAATAGTCTGTCATACAAAAAGAAGGCTGAAAGGATGAATTCCAATCTTTTATGACAGTTGATGCTTCAGTGACAGCATTTTTCGTTTCATTTTCAGTGACAAAGTGGCTACTACTTGATAGTCTATGTTAGTCTTTACAGTACAAAAAAATAAGGGTAGTGAATATCTTGTAGTTCTGTAAGTAGCATCAAGAAGTATTATTTCATTTCCATACCGCAAAAGAAAATCTTGTTGCCACTGTGACTGATATACAAATAAAAATGTAGAATTTTTCTCAAAATTTTGATTTGCTGTGACTTCACATTTTGGTTGAATTAAGATTTTAATAAATGGATCACTCTTTTTCCATTTATCGCACTTTTTCAAGAGACATTCTTGATCAATCATGGAATACCTATAAAATTACCACACATAAAATTAGCATTATATTATAAACATTGAGGAAAAGAAAAAGAAATCGAGCTGTAACTTAGAGGTTTTAGTATTTATCAGTTGCCAAAATATACAGTATCAAAAAGGCACTAGTAAAATTTGTGTTGAATTATGACAGTGAAGCATAGATTATGACAGTTATATCATTATGCAAGTGAAATATAAGCATGAAACGAAAGTAAATAAACATGAGATGAGAGAAAAAAAAAATTGATTGGTTTGGAAGATTATAAATTGTTGTTCAATACAAAAACAAACAAAAAAAAAAGGTATAATGAGTTATACTCATTATACCTTCATAATAAGGTATGAGTCATAATGGTTGCTTAGAGACATCTGAAAAAAAAATTTTCCTTAACTTTTGTCTCATTTTAACAATATGCGATCTTATAGTACTAGTACATGGATAAAATCTCCTATTATTTGGAGGAGGAAGGTTTTCATTTTCAAAAATATCTTTGACAGCAAGTCGAAGAAGGCGTTTCATTTCTCTTATGTTATATACTCCTTCCTTGACATACTCTTCTATTTTTTGAGAAATTTGCGCATCAATTGTTTGAGAAATTAACTCAGCCTTAAAATGTTTTGAAAAAATAAAAAGAATATGCAACATATACAACTATTATTTTAATTTTTTTTTTCTGTTAATATTTTTAAATTTGGAATCAATATATACCTGTCCAACTGGATGTTTATCATGAGAGGACAAATCATCAATGACAACTACAATGGTTTGACTATATTGTAATTTATTTAAGGCTGAAGTTTTAAGTTTTTGTTTCAAAAGTTTTGAGGCATTATTTTTTCGCCACACAGTTTTTTATGATATCTAAATGTAACAATATAAGACTTGAAACTTTTTCCTTTACTTTTTAGGGTTTAAATAGTTAATTTATTTATATACCTTAAATTCAGGAAAGTAAATTATTTCTCTCATAGTTATTTTAGCGCGGCACATAAACTTTTTACTATCTTGTAGAATGATATAGTTTTTTTGAAAGCAATGATCATCCTTCTAAAATTAGTTTAGTTATCAAGTTAACAAATGAAATTATCTAAATATATTTAAAAAGCCTATAAAATTATCTTTTTCATATTTTATGAATAACTAATTTATATAAATAAAACTATGTTCTAGTAATATTATAAGATTATATTTATAGCAAAAGTGTAACAAATTTATAGAAAACAGTTAAAAAAAAAATCTTACACCACATATTTTTTTATTTTTTTTGTAATTATTTTTTTTTGAAATATTTCTGTCAAACCCATGGTGACACTCAAGCACTTTAACAGAAAAAACTATATAAGGAGTTCATGAATAAAGAATAGAAAGATCTTCCCATAAAACATTATGACTTTCTGTAATTGTATCTAAAAAAATAAAAACACTCGGTTAGTAATTGAGTGCAAATTAAATAATTTAAAATCTTGAAAATAACTCGAAAGTAAGAACACCTGAGTACTATCTTACCTGTCTGACCAAAATTCTTATTAGCATAATACACTACATATCGTGTCGTTGTTGCTAGTTTGTATTTTTTAATACATTCCAATGCTTCTTTATGTGATTTAAAATGATAAATAAGTTTATTATTTTCTCCTAAAACAAATGATAAATTACAAAATTAAATGAAGTTATGTTTTGTCTATGCTTGTTTGTTAAAGTAAAAACAAACCATTATCAATGCGATCTACTGGCAAAAAATCAATTTCTGGGACATTTGCATTATCTTCAACAATTTCTAAATTAATAAAATAGTTTCAAAAATAAAAAATCTAAAAGAAATGTAAAATAAAATTTGTCTAATTTCTTTATTAGCTTAAAAGCTTTATAAATTAAATTTGATACGACATAAAAAATTGAGGTATTACGATCAAAAAATATAATCTTGTTCATTAATAAATTAATCCGACTAAAATAAATAACCTTTTGAAGTTACACTTTCCTCGGAGCTTTCGTCAGAGCTTTCCTCAGAACTGCTCAAATTTAAATTTTTATCACAAATATTTAAAAATAGATCCATGCTGATATTTACTTTATCTACCTCGTGCCTAAGTTTCATGTATTTACTTTTTTCCGTATCAACTCGACGGCAAACGAAAAATTTGACATGATTCTGAGCCATGGAATCGTCTGCCAACTTATTTAAGCAATGCTTTTAATTTTAGTTATAGTTAAAAATTAAAAAATAAAATCTTTAAAATAAATACTTAAATTATTTTATGTGTAGTTATATGTTTTTTTTGAAGAAAAAAAATGAAAAAATATAAAAAATATTCTTTGTATTCAACAGTTCATTGAAAAATCAAAAAAATAACACAAAGTTATTTACATGATTATAACAATGTTTATAAATATGAAGAAGCAAATGTGAAAGGCTCTAAAAATATTGTTTGTGCCATATCTAGCAATTCATCAAATGTTTTTATAAATTATATGTGTGATCAAAATTTGGTAGAAAACATTACATTACCGATTATTAGTAATTTCCTTGTTGATAGTTTCAATAATGAAAACTTAGATTTCTCCACAAAAAATTACAAAGACAAATACGATCATTTCATTAAAATTAGGAACTATGACTCAGACACTAGCTATTCAATTGCAGATAATGACGAGATATCTATCAAAGACTCGCTTTCCTACTGGGCAGTGCAATACCAAGTTTCTTATGTTGCTGTTTCTGCTTTGTTAAGTATTTTAAAACCATATTTTCCTTCATTACCAGTTGACTCTCGCACTTTACTCAAAACTCCACTTAAATATAATATTAAGACATTAGTATGTGGTGGGGAATACTATCAGATAGGCATTGAGAGTGGTTTGCGGCAAATTTGTGAGAATAGTTTTTTAAATAATAATTTATTTTGTTTTAAACTGCAATTTAATATAGATGGGTTACCATTATTTGAAAGCTCATCAAGCACTTTTTGGCCATATACTTGGCATGATTAAAAATGTCTCTGTAAAAAAACCCTTTGTAATTGGCCTTTATTATGGGAAAGAAAAGCCTGGTAATGTATTAGAGTTTTTGAAAGATTTTGTTGAAGAAATGATAAAGTTACAAAAAGATGGAATTGAAATCAATTGTAATACATATGCTGTTTAAGTTCATTCTTTTGTTTGTGATACTCGAGCATTTGTTAAAGGTATAAAGTATCACTCTGGTTATTATGCCTGTGAAAAGTGTGTTCAAAAGGGAGAATATACAAACAAAGTAATATTTCCAGAAACCGATGCTGTGTTACGGACTGATCTTTCATTTGATGACATGATTCATAAAGATCATCATATGGATTCCTGTCCGTTAAAACCTTTAAAAGTTGGATGTGTCACTAAATTACTGTGTTCCATCTATATTAAATTGCAGTTCAAAATGTGTCACTAAGTTTATGGAGTTTAAATTTGAATAATTTTGAATATTTCATTATAAATTTTTATATTTATAGTAATCTTATATTATAATGGTAAAGATAAGATGTATGCATGTTTGTTAAAATAGTAATATATGTAATGCACATTTCACAGATTTTAAATATAAGTTAGTTCTACTTCTTTGAAAATTTAGCTATCTTGTTTTGTGTAAAGATTTTTATTACATTATTTCTAATTAACATGTTTAACTTCATTATATTTTTAGTGTTTTATATTTGCAATTTGTTATTTTTAGTATGTTATATTTTTTATATATTAAGTATTTGATCTATTATATTCGAGATGATTAGATAGTACTATAATATTAAAATAATGTTCAGTTTATTTGCATTTAAAGAAAAATTTTCGAAATAATAGAATATAATTTTTTTTTTTTTTAATGACTCTTTTCCTCTAAAAATTTGATTTTCAAAAAGCATGTTTCCTATAGTACATTTTTTGGATGAAAATACAGTGGCAGTTAAGCCAACTAATTGGCTCTATAAAAATGACAGCTGCTTCTGGCCTAAACTTCGTGTAAGAAAACTTGGAAAAGCAGTAGAGGAACGTGAGAAACCAGAAAAGACTTGGGATATAGTTCCTAATATAAAATTACTTCATAGATATGGTAAGCTTTATTAAAATTAAAACATTAGAATAATAGAACAATTTCAATAAAAAATTAAAATTTGTTTTAGTACAATAACAAAATTTCTCATTATTGCAAAAACGCAGATAGATTATTGCAAAAACGCAGATAAAATATGTTCCTGGCTAATGTCCTGATGTAAATATATGATATGCATATGTTTTAGTTAGTTTATTTCAGTGATCACTAATTTTACAATTATCTGTGAAAACATTTCAAGTTTTTGAACAATATATATATATATATATATATATATATATATATATATATATATATATATATATATATATATATATATATATATATATATATATATATATATATATATATATATATATATATATATATATATATATATATATATATATATAGATATATATATATATATAGATATATATATATATATATATATATATATATATATAGATATATAGATATATATATACATTATAAAATATATATACATATATATTTTTTTGTTATTCACCTCCTCAAGGCCGAGAAGGCCACTACAGACGAGGAGGCTACTTAATAGTGGTTATAACCCTCTCTCAACTCTATAACTCCGAAATACGAACTTTGACGAACAAGGCCGCTGCGCGGAGAAACAAGTTGAGCAAGGTACTACCAGGAACGTGGTGGTGATCGAACGCGGAATCTCTCGCTTATAAAGCGAGTGTTTTACCACTACACCACTACCGCATTATATATACATACATATATATATATATATATATATATATATATATATATATATATATATATATATATATATATATATATATATATATATATATATATATATATATATATATATATATATATATATATATATATATATATATATATATATATATATATATATATATATATATATGCTTGTTTTGACTACCAATAGCCTAATAAAGTCACGAGTTGATAAAAAAACGATATAAATTTCATTACCTATGAACACCCTAAAATAACATTATTTTTTGGATGAAATTTAAATTTATCTTTGTTGCAACTTAGTTATTAATGCATTACAACTTGCGAGATTAAACTTAGTTCGAGCAGAGGGTGAAACTTCTGCTCTGGAGTCTGAAAAAGATAAAAGTGAAATTGACTATCCTAAAAAAAGTTTAAAAAGACAAAAAAAAGTATATACCTTGGTAAAGATTATTTTTCAGACAAATTTAGTATTGATTTACCTACAATACCTTCTAAAAATAAAAAAATTAATAAGAAATCTTGGGATTTACGTATACCTCCAAACTTACTGCAAAAGTTAAATGCTCCGAGTCGACATTTTTTAAATAATAAGTTTAAATTAATTTTTTCTTTTTATTTGAATTTGTACGGAAACTTGCTTTGGTTTCAAGAAAGATCGCTATTTTATTGTACAGCTGAACGCTTTGCGCTGATGATCTTTATTCACAGCTTTAGTTTTTATAATTTTATAATTGAGAATTGTTGTTTAATTTAGAACAAATTTAGAAAATTTATGTATTTTAAAAACTTTTGAAATTGTTCATAATTGTAATTGTTCACAATTCTTAATAGTTCATTACTAAAGTTCACTATTATTTTTTAAATATGTTTTTATTTAAATTGATATTTTTATAGATGCTACTTTTATCTATTTTGGTTAACTAATAAAATAACATTGTTAAAATAAAAACTACTTACAAACATTGGGGAAAGGTTACATAGTAACATTATTTTACTTCGTCAATTTTGTTTTGCAGTGCAGTCTGTATCTCGTTTAGCAAATGATAATGAGAATTGTTTTCCATCAGTTGCAGAAATTGAATGCACACCATCAAATTCAATAATTGATAAGATAATTATGAATCTATCAGGAAGTATATAAATTTATTTATTTAAATGTTGCCCTCAGTCTTGAATTTTTTGCCTTAATAGCAAAAGTTTATAATAAAGACCTCTGTGGAAAAAACAGGGGTGTCACATTTTTTTAACTTTTGAGTTGTTACCATTTTTCAAACTAGTATGTTGTAATTCATAAATTTGTAATTTATAAAGTGATAATAAAACAAGGAGAAAAAAATTCCAATCCTTTTAAAAGTGGCTTTTCAACACTAATTAAATAAGGCTCAAAGGAGCATTTAAAATTTCAAAAATAGATTTTATCAAAATAAGAAAAACCTGACATTGCCCGGTTTTTCCTTTGATGTGATCTATAATCTTTTGTATAGTTTTTTAAGAATATTTATTAAATTTATTATTTCCAGATGTCATTGCATCACCTAAAGATATACAGGCATTGGTGAGTTGCAACACTCAACAAATTTGATTTTAAGTATGATTCAAAAGGGCAACATTGATATGCCAATCAGTGATGGAGTGCCTGATGGAGTGTCTTTGCCACTAGACACAGTAGAAAATTTAATAGCTTTAGAAGAAAAGTTAAAAGACAAGAAAATATTTAAACATATGGTAAGTATATTACCTTGATGCATTTCGTATAATTTCTTTTATTCATTTTTATATAAAAATGAGTTTGTAAAAATAAGGGCTTTTACACAAAAATGTATAAATTATATAGATTATTTAAGGATTATAATATTTATACATATATGTACTCTAAACATAACATTTTAAAAGTGTATTGAATTTTTAATGATTTTTAGATAGCGGATTATTATTGATTAAATCCGACTAAAAGTAGCTATATATAACTAGCTTATACTTTATTACTTTTTGCAGGTTGATTATTTGGGACGAATTGGGGGAAAAGATGAAGGAAATTCAATACGCCGCATACTAAGAACACTTTTAACTAATAGTCTAACTTTGAAGCTAAACTGTCGGAAGAGGAAAAAAAGTCGGAATTGGAAAAATGACGATTATGCTTGTTGTTATTGGTAAGTGGTTCAGAAAAATTATTTGCATAAATTTGTGCACTATACAGTTACTTTCAATTTATTGTTATTTTTTTTTTTTTGTGCTTAATTAAACAAAGTTATGATTCTTTTGCAGAAGCTGTGAAGACAAATAAATGTTTTTACAGCTAAAGATTCAGAATTAGAAGATCTAATTAAAGTATGGCTCAGGCAGGCATGTGATAGGGATGGAGGAAGAAAAGCGTATAGTCGTGGGCATCTCAGATCAATAGCAAAACACGATTTGATAAAAAGTAGCACCGTCGAAACTACTCAATGAACTTTTTAGAAAATTGTTCTATTAAAAAATTTTTTGTTATGCTTTGCTTTATGTAACGGAGTAGTTATGTAATAAAATCTTCTAGTTATATCATACAATTTCGTTTTTATTTGTCTGTAAGTTTCATAGTGATGATAAAAATCATCTATTCAGATCAATAACTCAATGTTGAGTAAAACATTGTAGTGATACAACATCCATTGTTGTACATTTAGTGAAGAGCTACTCTGATAGCAACGTTGACTCGATGCACTCGCCGTTGGAAATATAATATAATTGTATAATAACAATGTCTCAACGTTGTATACAACATTGGCGTAATGTTTTATACAATATTGGGCCAATGCTGCAAAATACATTGGCCCAACATTTTATACATTGGCTTAAAGTCATATACAACATTGGGCCAATTTCGTATACAATATTGGGCCAATGATGTACATAACGTTGGGCCAATGCCTAACCAATGATCAAATCTGTATTGGGCCAATATAAAATATCAACGTTGGGCCAATGCATCACCATGCATTAGCTCAACGTTGTTCCAATGTATGCTTGCTGTCTGGGAATATTGTTCAAATTTTTTTTCTTCAAAACTATATCAACCTGGTACTCAAAAGAAGCAAAATAGTACGCTTATTTTGAATATAATATTTATTTTAATTTAAAACTAAAGAGAAACAATAAATTCGTTTTTTTTAATAAAAAACCCTAGTCTTTATCAAAACGGGGGTTATAAGGTATACTTTTGCAAATACTTTTTTACTAAAAATTTTATTTTTTAAATTTAAAACAAGCATTTTTTTCTGCTTTTTTTGAGTCCAAGGTTGATATAGTTTGAAAAAAAAAAAATTCCAAAATATTAGGATCCGTCAAGGATTTAGAATCCAAAGAGGAACCTCAAGATCTCTTCAAAATCAAAAAATATTTTTTTACTTTCATCTTATAATTAATAGACATCGATTAATTTTCCAGGAATATTAATTTAAAAGTTTTTTTTTTTTGCTATGAAAATCGATTCATCCTACTCTACACAGTTCCAATAATTTAGTGCGCGCGAACATTTGACAATACATCATTGTTCTTTGTGCGCAGAATCTCACAAAAGAAAGTAAATAAACAAATATATTATAAAAGCATTCTTGAAAGAAACAGTTGTTTACGTGAGATTTCTTTATTTTTATTAATAACAAAAGTATCGATGTAATAATGAAGACATTTTAGAAAAAAAAAAAGTTTGACCAAAATGAAATAAAAACAATTATGTCTAAAATTAATACAGAAGCTATAAAAATAAAAAAAATTGACACCTCTAAGATCTAAAACCGAAGGTAAATCAGCTCCAATAATTCTTGAATTAGAAAGTAAAGCCTATAGAAATTTAATGTTAAAAAATGCATACAATAACAAGGAAAAAATTAATGTTATTTACTTTAACGTTGATATGACTGAAGCAGAAAGGTACCTTATGTATCAACTATTAGTATAGATATAACTAAAAATTGTCCAAGTTGTAGATACACAAATGCTACATCATTAAAAATAAATTTGACTTGTTCCTATTAGATATTGCAACCTTTAAACCTGGTATCTACATGAACAGAAACTTGATTTAATGAAAACTCAGTTACACATGTAAATGGTTATCAAATAATCCATAATAATAGATCAAATAGGAGTTCAGTTAAAGCACATGGAGGTGGTGTTGCTATCTATGTAAAAGAAGGTCTTTTAGTTTACTCACCCAATGATAGTTTCACTAAAAATATCAACATTGAACATACTTGGTGTATTTTAAGTATAAAAGATGAACAAATTTTACTTGGTTGTATTTACCGACCACCTGATGCATCTGAAGAAACAAATAACTATATCTGTGAAATAATAGAAGCAGCTGAAAATAAAATTGATCATAACAGGTACTCTGGTTTACTTATTTCAGGAGATTTTAATTACCCAAATATAATATGGAAAAAAAATAACGTTCAAACTATGAAAAAATATGATAAATACTCCACCAAATTTGTTGAATATATAAATGACGACTACTTACATCAAGCAGTTATGCCACCTACATATAATGCAGATTTAATTAATGGTAATATCTCAGATTTAATTTTAACAGAAACACCTGAACGTATAAATAAAATGCATCATAACCCAACTCTAGGCAACACTAGAAATGGATACCAAATACTTAGCTGGAAATATTTTTTAAAAAACACTACTAAAAAGAAAATGTCAAACTAAGGGAAATCTGGATTTAACTATAAACTTGGTAATTACACAGTCATAAATAAAGCTATCAATGAAAATGATTGGGAAAAGTCTTTTTGGAAAAAATAGTATTAATGAGTGCTATGAAATATTCTTAAATATCTATGATAAATTATGCAACAAATATATTCCTAAAGAAAATATATACTTCAATAAACAATCACAGCCCAAACCTTGGATTGATAGAGAAGCAAAAAAAGCAATAAGAAACAAAACAAGTTTATGGCACAAACTATTATCTAATGGTTTTAAATGAGACCAGCTAAAAGTTCAATATATTTTAATCAATAAAACAATAAAAAATCTTATTAAAACAAGAAGAATAAATTATGAAAAAAAAATAGCTGACTCATCGAAAGAAAATCCAAAACTGTTTTATGCATATGTTAATTCAAACAGAAAAATAAAATTAGGCATTAATATAATAACAGATAATAATGGTTCTTTACAAACAAATCGTGATGATATTGCTAATATCCTCATTGAAAACTTTCACTCAGTATTTGTTATAGAAGATCCAACAAATTTTCCTAATATTGCATTAAAAACAAGCAAGACTTTAGAATTAGATATAGACTCAATAAAAACTCAAGGCATCGTTAGAATTAAACTAAGTGAACTAAATGTCAATAAAGCATTAGGAGCAGATGGTGTATGTTCATATGTGTTGAGAAAATGTCAAAATAGTTTTTGCAAACCTTTAGAGTTACTATTCAAAAGATCCTTACAAGAAGAACAAATTCTACTCATACGGAAAATGGCTAATGTAACACCACTACACAAGAATGGAGACAAAAATGATCCTGCAAACTATAGACCAATTTCATTAACGTCAATACCCTGCAAAATTCTAGAGTCAATCTTAGGTAACAAAATAATCGATTACATGTTAGCAAACAATTTATTAAATAGTAACCAACATGGTTTTCAAAAGAACAAAAGCTGTACTACTAATCTACTAGAAACACAAGATATTTTACTTGATGCTATTGAGAATGGCTGGTGTGTTGATGTGTTGTATACAGATTTCTCAAAAGCTTTTGATAAAGTACCTCATATGCGATTGATGTCAAAGTTAATATCATATGGTATAGTTGGAGTAATTCTAAAATGACTAGAAGCCTGTTTACATAATAGAATGCAACGAGTAATTTTAGGGGATTGTGTATCAAAATGGCTAACACTTGAGAGTGGAGTTCCACAAGGTTCTGCCCTTGGGCCTCTTCTGTTTCTTATTTTTATAAACGATTTGCCAGACACATTAAAAAATAATATTAAATTGTATGCAGATGATAGCAAAATTATAAATATTTTTAAATCAGATGAAGATATCCGTGTAAACAAATTACAACTAGATATTGATAATATTATGAAATGGTTGTCACTATGTTTAATGAAATTTAACTATGAAAAGTGTAAAATTATGCACATTGGTTTTAAAAATCTTTGTATAACTTATTCAATGTTCGACGCTGAAACTCAACAGAATAATATATTAGCAGCATCAAAAGTAGAACGTGATTTAGGAGTAATGATGCAATCTAATTTAAAATAGACCAGTCATATTGATAAAGATGTTGGTAAATCAAATCAAATGCTTGCTCTTATAAAATGAACTTTTAAATATTCCAACTCCAATATGACAAAAAAATTATATACAACTTTTGTAAGACGAAGATCTTATTTTTCAATATAAAATACAAAACGGTTATGAGAAAATAAATTGGATAAACGACTCGACATCTCAAGTTCAATTAAAATCTTACAATTTTTGTAGTCATAACCAAAAGTTAACAAAGGCATATTGTAAGAGCAATTATAGATATAATTTCTTTTCCTGTAGAGTCGTAAATGCTTGGAATAGTTTACCACCATATATTATCGAATCAATGACAATTGACCAATTCAAAAATAAACATGATAAATCAGACTACTGCAAAAATTATTTATTAAATACTAAATAATATCTATATACATTGAAAAGTAAACAATGCTATTATAAAACATTTATAGCTGTTATAGCACAACATCTTATGTTGTTGTGCTCCACAATTGATTTCATCAGTTGTCACAGTTTACATTATTATTATTATTATTATTATATATATAAATATATAAATATACATATACATATATATATATATATATATATATATATATATATATATATATATATATATATATATATATATATATATATATATATATATATATATATATATATATATATATATATATATATATATATAAATTACTAATTAAAAATCTTTTTTCCCAAAAGCTCATTTTTATTAATAAATATTAAATACTTTTACAATCAACGTACAAATTTGTTTTTTTTTTATAATGTTATATAAAAAAAACATATAACCAGTATAGATTTTAAACTTGAAATGGGTAAAATAAACTTATATTAAACTAAATCAATGCCTTTTTGAAAAAAAAATTAAAAAAATCTCAAGTAAACAACTGTATTTTTCATGGTAACTTAATTTATACGAGTAATTACTTGTTTTCATGCTATTCTGCGCATAAAATACCATGACGAATTTTTAAATATGCGCGCGCATGAAATTATCGTAACTGTGAAGACGTCCATTGAATTCCAAAACAATAATAATATAGTAATTATGATTTTTCAAATATAATTATTCCCACCTTTAAAATTGCATGCAAAGAAGTTTGTTTTTAACAACTGCCTTTAATTGTCCAGAAAATTATCAATTTTTTTATAAAGAAAACATTAGATCTACGTATTAGTCTATATAGGGCAATAACACAATATTTGAAAATTATTAACTTTAAAAAATAGTTAAAG